GTTGTCTTTTCATTTTCCTCATACAGAGCCTGTTTGCTTTTTGACTTACTGGAAGAGCCGATACCCTAGTAGTGCTTTAGAAGCGATTGAAAACAACCCTAAATACGGGAATTTGTAGACTTTAGCAGAACATGCTGTGTTTCCCTTGCTATCTGTAGTTTCTTCACTCGGAGTGAGTGAGGCTGTCATGATAGATACTGGTGGGCGTGGCTCCCTACCATACCTACCAACTACCTAGGTAGGTACCTACCTAGGCAGGCTCCGTACAGGGGTTGTCAGCCAAGCCACAGCTGAGCCACAGCGCCCCCCCTAGACGTGATATGACAAGCAGCAGCCCCCCAAATGTGTGCACAGATGGAACAGGTGTCTCGGTAAGCTTCGTCATCTACCTCTGCACCTCACACTGTCTTTTCACTGTCTTTTCACCAACTGCTATCGATTTTCTCTTGTTCCCTTGCGGGCCTGATTGTTCTCGCCTTGTAGCGACGCACTCGCTTCACCCACTCCTTGTTGTTTTTTGATTTTCTTCTCCGTCCATCGACGGAGCGCCCGGCGTGGAAGCAGACGCCCACCCCTGGGTTCTTCCAAATTGCCCCCGAGCAGCCGGAACCAACCACGCGCTGCGCCCAAGTTCTGCGACCAGATCACACCGGCCTAGGCCGTATGACACTTCTCGAAAGCCATTTATGATTAGATAGGCGACCACCGACAACGACGAAACGTTTCCGCAATGTATTCCAATTACGGACAGCAGCAGCAGCAGCAGCCGCCGCTCGGTCAGCAGTATGGAGGGGGTTTCAACAACATGGGCCAGCAGCAACAGCAACAGCCCAGCCCATTTGCGCCCCAGCCGACTGGTTACGGTCAACCGCAGCAGCAGCAGCAGTTCAACGGATACCCCATGCAGGCCCAGCCGACCGGCATGCCGCAGCAGTCGCAGCCTCTCCAGCAGCAGTACACGGGCTACCCGTCGCAGGGCTTCAACGCTGGCGCGCCGCCGCCGCCCATGCCATCGATACCGAGTCAATACCAGTCGCAGTTTCAGCCGCAGCAGCAGCCGCAGCCGCAGCAGCAGCAGAGCTTCCAGTCTTCGCATCCCACGGGCTTCTCCGCGTCACCCCATCAGTCCTCTGGACCTACGCAACCGCCACCCGCGCCCATGAAACCGCAGCCTACTGGTTTCACTCAGATGGCTGCCTCGTTCCAATCGGCTGGCGCATCTTCCCACCCGCAGGCGACAGGGCCAGTCAAGACGAACAAGATCCCCAACATCCGTCTGTCATTCATCACCGCCAAGGACCAGGCACAGTTTGAGACTTTGTTCAAGTCGGCCGTGGGCGAGGGTTCTACCACCATGTCTGGTGAGCGCGCTCGCGATCTTCTTCTTCGCTCAAAGCTCGACGGTGACTCGCTCTCGCACATCTGGACGCTGTCAGACACCACGAGAGCCGGAGAGCTCTACTTCCCCGAGTTTGCCCTATCCATGTATCTGTGCAATCTAAAACTCTCCGGCAAGACTCTCCCTCAGGTGCTGCCAGAAAACATCAGGAATGAAGTGTCGAGCATGGTTGACATTATTGGTTTCAGTGTTGTTGACGAATCTGGTCGCTCCGCTCCCGCCGCGACCAGTAAGCCAGACATCCAATCCAACAGCCAACCCACCGCCCAGCAGTTCCAGCCTCAGCCCTCCAATTCTCAGATTCTGCAGTCGCAAATGACGGGTTTCCCGACTCAACAGACTGGCTTTGGCGCTCAAAACCAGATCGTGCAGCCGCAAGCGACTGGCTACCCTGGTATGCAAAATAATATTCCGTCAACTGGGTATGCTGGCCCTAGGCCACCGATGCCACCGATGCCCACGGGCTACAACCAAAGCAGCATGGCCATGCCCCTGAATGCTCAGCCAACTGGTGTGCCGGGCCAATGGGGTCTTGTTAATGCTCCCTCATCAGGACTACCCAATATTGATGCTCTACAAGCCCAAATGATGCCCCAGCAAGGCCGTGAGGGTGGCTCTTTCACTACCCAAGGTCTTCAAGGTAACGCCGTTATTCCATGGGCTATTACCAAAGAGGAGAAGACCCGCTACGACTCTCTGTTCCGCGCATGGGACGGCCTTGGGAAGGGGCATATTCTGGGAAGCCAAGCTATCGAGATCTTTGGCCAAAGCGGTCTCGAGAAGCCTGATCTGGAGCGCATTTGGACATTGGCGGATCATGGCAACAAGGGCCGCTTGGACCTTGACGAGTTCGCTGTGGCCATGCATTTGATCTACAGGAAATTGAATGGCTACCCAATTCCCAACACACTACCACCTGAGCTCGTCCCGCCCTCTACGCGCAACTTTAACCGATCAATTGGTACTCTCAAGAACATGCTGCACGCGGAGTCCAACTTCCGCAAAGACACCGGCGCTGCTCTGCTGCCGCAAAAAACTGGTGTGAGCTACATGAAGAACCGCTCTCTGCGTGGAAACAACTCCCCCACCACTGCGGGCCGCAAAGATGCGACTGTATTCAGAAACGATGACGAGAGCTTTGGCTACAAGTCTAGTGCGCGCCGCAGAGTTGGCAACCATGAGCGCTCAGAATCGCCTTCATCTGTTGGCTCCAACGATGAGCTGACCCTGGACCAGCTCCGAAAGAAGATCAAGGAGAAGGAGGTGCTTCTTGATGCCATGGACTTTCAGGACGAAAGAAACATGGAAGAGGACGATGTACTTGACAGGCGCGACCGCCGCGAGTCTGAGGAATTGTACCGCCGCATCCGACGTATCCAGGGTGACATTGATGCCCATCCCAATGCCTCTCTGGCCAGCGGTGACTCTGATGCTGAGAGACGTGCTCTGAAGCGTCAGCTCCAAAATCTTCTTGATAAGGTGCCTGACTTGGCTTCGCAAGTTCGCAAGACCGAAAAGGCCATTATGGATGCCAGACTTGAGTTGTTCCGTCTCAAGGACGCCAAAGCGAACCCTGGTAGTGCCTCAACAATTGCTGGAACTGGCCCAGGTGGCATTGTGACCGAGTCTGATAGACTAAAGGCACGAGCCAAGGCCATGATGCAGCAGCGCACCGCTGCGCTGACGGGCAAGAAGATTGATGTTCCGGTTGATGACGACTCCGCTTCCAAGCGTCTGGAAGAAGAGAACATCAAGGTGAAGAATGAGAAGGAAAGCAACGAGAGAATGGTGCGCGATGTCGAGGAAAGCGTCGGCGAGTTTGCGCGCGGCATCGAAGATAGTCTCAAGGACGGTGCTCGCGATAAGAGTAGCGAGCATGAGAAGCGCCGATGGGAGGATGCTCTAGGTGTCGAGGATGAAGTGCGTGACTTTATCTTTGACCTTCAGCGCGAAAGCCGTTCTACCCGCGTCCGCTCCCAGGATAAGCGCACGGCTCGGCCTGCGGCGACTGAGCAGCCACGTCAAGAGCGCGCTGCTCCCTCATCAGCTCGTGTTGATTCCCCCGTGTCGACCTCACGAACATCTACACCTCCCGCTGCTGGTGGTTCCTACGCGGCTTACAAAACACCAGAGGAGCGTGCCGCCTTCATTAGGCAGCAGGCGGAGCAGCGCATGGCTGAGCGTTTGGCTGCTCTCGGTATCAAGGCTCCTTCCAAGCCGGGCGAGAGCGCGGCTCAGCGTGCTGAACGCGAGAAGGCGGAGCGAGCAGCCAAACTTAGGCAGGCTGAAGAGGAGGATGCGCGCAGAGAGACGGAGCGCCGTTCCAGATTAGCAGACGAGCAAGGTGTGCCTCCACCTGCTGCCGAGACACCCAAGCCGGCGCCCCCCCCTCCTCGAAAGGCGCCCAAGGCCGATGCAGCCGAGACCCAGGCAGTGGAGCAGAAGCTTGCCGAAGAGCATCAGCAGCAGCAGCAGGAAGCTAGCAAAATGCAGTATGTACTGCGAACATGGCGTGGGGTGTGCCACACTAACTTGGACTACAGGGATGCCGTGAAGGAGGAAGCAGACGAATACGCCAAGGAGCAGCAAGCTACCGAAGCACGCCTCAAGGCATTGGAGGAACAGGTGAGACAGGGCAAGCTACGCAAGGAAGAGGAGAAGAAGAGAAAGAAGGCTGCTCTGGCCGAGGCCAAGGAGAAGGAGAGCAGGCTCGCTGCCCGACGAGCAGAGGCGGAAGCTGCCAAGCAACGCGAGCTCGAGCTGCAGCGCCAGCTCGAGGCCATGGAGGATGACGATTCATCTTCCGACGACGACGGCCCTGAACAAGTCACGCCGATGGAGTCATCGGAGCGCAGCGTGGATGAAGAGCCTCCCCGATCTGCACCCCCACCGCCGCCCATGCCTGTTGCCTCACCGCCGCCACCCACGATTGTGACGTCGCCGCCGGCAGTCGAGACGGAGAGCAAGAATCCATACAAGAAGATGATGTCGCAGCCCTCCGAGGCGACCTTTGCTGCGACCGCCACGTCTCCCGAGGCCGCGCCTGCTGCGGCCGCGACCCCTCCTCCCGTGCCCAAGGCGGCCGCGCCACAGGCCGCCGACGCGTCGACTAATCCCTTTCACCGCATGACCCAGCAAGGTGGTGGTGGTGGTGGTGCTCTTGCCACGACTGCTGCTCCGCAGGCTCCCATCTCGCGCAAGAGAGCAGACTCGTGGGACTGGGGCTCGGACAGGGACGACGACGACGACGACTCTGATGATGAGAGGCCGGGCGGTGGCAACGCGGCCCAGCTCGCGTCGATTTTGTTTGGCACCATGGCACCGCCGCGACCGCTCTCGGCGGCCGGCAGGGACTCGAAGCCGGCCAGCCCAGCGCCGGCCAGAGACGCGCCCATTGCGTCACCCCCTCCCCCTCCTCCTATGCCCGGTGCTGGCTCGGATGCACCCTCTGGCCCGCCGCCGCCGCCTCCCATGCCTGGCATGGCAGCTCCTCCTCCGCCACCTCCTCCTGCTGGAGGTGCT